ATATACTTGAGCGTAACCAACAACTTTCGAAAGAGTAACTCACCGTGACTTTATAAACCTTCTTTTTCATACTTGCGTGTACTTCACCACGTAAAACTCCCTCGTGATAACTAAATGACTCCACATGATCAGACTTACAATGATTTTCTCCCTTCTTTATCGACTTCTTTCGTCTGAAAAATAGGAAAGCAACGACGCGATAGAAAGCGTCGCCATTTTGAAAAGCAATACGAGTTTGTTGAGAACCGACTTTTTCGGCGTCATGGTAACGTGACGTCATCGCTTTAGGACTCTATAACAAAAATAAGATAAACCTAAGCCGTTTTCACACGACTAAGTTAGTTCAGAAGGCCAGTAAGTAAAATTAACCAATCAGATTTCTCTATCTCTGTTCCAATTTTTTGCAGGTATTGGATCGGGCACTGACCTGAAAGATCTTGTTGTTTTACGACTTACTTGTTTTCTAACAGAAATTAACTTAAGAGTAAAAGTCGATTTTTCCAACTTTCCTGCTGTAAAACATCCGATCCATTCAAAGGGAGGACCTTTGACATAAGCGACGAATTGAAAATTAAGCTAAACTTATCTGTAAGTTGAAGTTTGATGGTAATTCTATCGAGTCATCACGTGGTGTCAGGAATCACATGAGATTGCAGAATCCTATCCCAGAAGAGGCGAACTATTACTGTAAAGTACTAAGTTAAATAGGGTGGGTCACCAAAAATAGGGCGGGCATGTGATTCCTTACACCACACGATGACTCGATAGAATTAGCATCAAACTTCAACTTAGCGTGTGTTGATCAGGCGAGTAGCTGTTCCCTCGGCGGTCAGCTGTTGTACTGGTCATGTACTTTTGATCTTGGGCATCCATGCCTCGGGAATTTCAATTCAACTATCCTTGTTCATGTTATTAGGGTGAAGTTGTATGTGGATAGCTTCCTTGACCCTAGTTGTGTACCAGTGAGGATCTCGATCAATAAACTTGACCTGGTTCCAAATCGGATAGTCGCCGGTCTCATGGGCATGGTCAGAAACGGCAAAGGTCTGGGTATGGGCAAGTCGTATATCTCTGTTGTGTTCTTTGATCTTCTCCTGCATAGTTAGATACTTGCCAGAACAATGGAACAATAGGAGGATCGAAATGGACCAATCACAGCCTACCTTCGTGATATAAATAATGTTGTACAATCAGTCGACCTCATCAGTAGTATAGCACGCTTATTTGCTCCCTAACCAATCAGAGCACAGTACATATTATTAGCATCTCATTAAAATGGCTCGACCAATCAGAGAGCCGGATTTCATCCACGTGAGTAAATTTGTGATGTAGTTGATTTTGAGGACCGAAGAGCCAATCCGGAGCCAAATTAAGAATTCAAGATGGTGGCGCCCACAAAAGTCGACCATGTTGGAAAACAGCCCATCAGTCTCAACAGAGGACTGGGATCGGTCTCAAAGATTTCCATGGCAACACAAATCACGCCAGGGTCACGCAAAACTGTCATGCAACTTCAAACTCGATACTTTCAGTGTCCTGTGGTCCTAAACGACAGAGGTCCGTCTGACAAGTGGCCATGATGAAGACTGAGATTCTTGAGTCCGAGACTAGCCTATATAAGGTGGTAAAAACCATCGTGGGACAATGACCTCATCGGTATCCAATCAGAATAAATTAAAGTACTTGCAGTGGTTGGCTTTCCCAGTCGCCCTCTCTTAAGGAGAGCACTAAACCCCCAGCGTGTCGGTAAGTGGGGCACTCCCCAAGGTATTTCTCGGTAGAGATGAAAAAGGGAAGGGGTATCCTCAAACGTCAATGATCACACAGAATTGAAAACGAAAAACTTTTTTTAATCACTGAAGAAGGGCTAACAAATCCCAGTAACTTGTTTTCCCATGATCTCGTCCAGTACGAAAACAGAAGTTAGCGCTCA